GGCAGAGCTGCGTGGTGCTACAGGACTCAGGGATGGAGGTAAAACATAGATCAAGAGAAGCCTTGCCATCCAGATTGTAGAGAAAATGTGTGGGGAAGTCAACTATTTGTGCAAGAGATTGAGAAATTGAAAAATTAAGGGTTTGTATGCCTGCAAAGTCAGTAGTAGTGTTATTAAGCCACTTGGTATGATGGGAATTAAAATCGCCACATGAGAATATGTGAGCGAATGGATGGAGAGAGAGAGAGAGAGAGCCTTGTTAATGCTGTCAGAAATGCATTTGAGTACACCACAGTCTTGGGAGGATGGAGAGTTATAAAGGAAAAAGAAGTAGCTTACAACATTGAGAAAGGATAGCCGCAGACACATATACGAATGATCTGGAGATTCAAGAGAGCTCTCTTGCCAGTGGGAGATGGTCCTTGATGTAAACACCAAGGCCATGCATATGGGTTTGAGAGTCTTTTCTAAGGAGTGAAAGGTAGCCAGGTAGCCAGGGATCGAGAGGTCAGAGGAGGGGATAGATGAGTCAAGGTTGGTCTCACAGAGAGCCAGTATATCTGGGCAGTTTACAACAAGGAAAGATTCAACACTGCAGAAGTTGGTTCTAATGTGATGATGTTAGAAAATGAAATGTTAAATGGTTTAGTTGCTTTTTTAAGAGCTAGTTTAGGATTTCTTTTGGGATCATTGTTCGATTTCATGTGTAAATGTGGTAGCAAAAAAAAAAAAAAAAGAAAAGAAAAGAAAAGAAAAAAAGCCTGAAGTAGAAGCAGCAAACAGTGATCAACCATGATGTGGACAGACGGAATTTGGTGCAGCCTGCAGCATAATGTGGCCTCAGGGTTGCCCACCGGAGATGAATGCAGGGACATTTAATCCATGTGCAACATGGCACTACAAACACCCCGGTATTATACAACCATTGATCAGAGCAGCTGCTCAAGATGCTATGCAAAAGTTAGGTCACCTAACAATCAGAAACAGCAACCAGAAAACTGTCAACTGTGTACTCTCAAAATAAAGAAGCATTGCTAAAGACTGCACACGTCACGGGAGAAACACGGCAGCCTCCAGTACAGAGGCCAGAGAGATCCGGGAACCCCTTTCCGAAACAAGAAACAGGGCTTGAGCCTCTACTCTTGTCCAAAAGAAGGGGGAGGTGTATTGACCAGACGGCAGGGAAGCCTACCTACTCCTATTACATACACAAAAAAAAAAAAAAAAAAAGGCTGCAGCTGACAAGTCCGAGCTGACAGCTGTAGACACACTTATCAATGGATAGGAATGGGATTTTATTTTTATGCCTCCCATTACATTAAGTCCCATTGTCCTATCCTAAGGAACAAATTTGGTTATCCAGTATAGCAGATGTGGCATATAATTCTAATACAAATGGCAACTAGCGTTCACTATTGCCGACTTCCATTCTCATGGTCAGATGGTGGATTGTAGAGGTTGACTTTATATGTCGCCAAGCTTTTCAGTTTCAAGAACTGAGAGTTGGGGAGGGCGAGTCCCCACCACCACCACCAACAATGGGCGGTGGGAATAACAACAATATTCAATGTACAGATGAATGGTAGATTTATAAATGTGCAGGATGGATTATGTCAAGAAAAATTGTCTGGCATGACACAGTAAACCAATTTACCTAACAGCAGACCTAGCAATTGATTCAGTTACTTTCAGTACAAACTTTCCATGTTATCTCAATAAGGACCAAAGAATTACTCACCTGGTGGTTAACATCAGCCATGCTGATGGAAGAGGAAAAAAAAAAAAAAAAGAAAGTTCTCTCAGATGATTAGAAAAAGTGAGCAGTTTTGTTTTGGAGGTGTTAGAATTAAGCCATTTCTTGCCCCGGTTAACAGTATGCAGGTTATTTTTTAGATCAGCTGCTAATTTGACCTCATCGAACCAAGACAGGAGTAAATAGGTGTGTAATTAGCATAGATATCGATTTGAGAACTGATGATATTGGGAAGGTCATTGATGAAAATTAGGAGCAACATCAGTCCAAAGATAGAGAGTAATGGGAGATAGCCGCATTAATGCAAAAAGATCTAGAAGAGTGTCGATTGAAGTTAACTTTCATTTCGCAAATTGATAAGATTGAATATTCCTTCAGAAATACCATATCCTTTCAACTTGTGAAGATTAAAAAAAAACCAAAAAAAACACATAAGACTGTTTTCTTCCAATGAACAAAAAACTATGAGCAGTTCGAAATTTCTGAGAAAAGCGGTTTCAAATAAGGACAGATTGAGAACTTTTTGCTTGTCGTCAAAGCAAGACATTGTTGATGGGATTTTTAATAAAATGGTCCATACCTGCTAGTTTTAGGTCATAAGATTCAATTCAAAACTATGTGTACTAAAAATGGAGAAAGTTTTTTTTTTTGTTTTTTTTGGACTATAGCAAAAACAAAAAATAAATTTAAATGAGATCTTTCAAATGTATTTATAAATTAATAAAATTAAACTAAAAAACAACTCATAAGATCTGAGCCGAAACAAGAAATGTGGAAGTTAGTTTTAAAAACCTTACATTTTCATTTTAATTTCTTTAGTCTTTCTTTACAAACCAGAACCTCCGTCAAATTACGTATAGCAACTGAACACAAGTGTAACATTTATGTTTAAATTTTTAAATTATCAAGGTAAACTAAAACAAATTATTACCTCACTTGGCTAAAAGTTTTTTGTTTTTAAGTGTTTATCAATTGGACCCATTTTCCAAAGTAAGAAAAAAAAAGTCTGAATAAAAAATAGTTACGAAGCCCGTCGTTTGTTCTTGCGTAATACAAAATCTTTCATTAAAAATTAAGGTAAACGTAAGGTATTTTATTTTCATATTTGAAAATTTTCAAGTCATAATTTCTCTCTAAAAAGCAAAACAAGACTGATGTAAAAAAAAAAGAAAAGAAAAAAAAGGTTTGTTTCTCTCTCGTAGAAGGCACATTCAATCCCAGTTCAAATGGGACTGTTCGATTCAAGACACGTGATCTTTGAGGGAGACAAGAAGGCTACATTCAAATTTAACAAAGCGAAGTTTAAGCAGATTTTCCCAGAAACAGAAAAAACACATTTACATTTGATCTTGAGCTTTTAGTATTTTTACTGTTTACTTTATTTGACAAATATTTCAACCTCGCAGATTTTTACTAGGAAGCTTGTCCCATTGTTGAGTAAGGAAGGAGTTCGATACGCACTGAGTGCCCATCACTCTTTTGTTGTGGATTTGTGCCAAAATTAATAAAATATTTCACCAAAGTTTCCATTGATGTTCTGAGTTGTGTCTATGTGTGTGTTTTTTTTGTGAGCTAAAGTTTCTAAGCAATTTTTTTTAACGTAAAGAAAAAAAAAAATTTCATTTAAAAGTTTCTGTCCCAAAATTTGTTGAATTTTTAACATAGAAAAAGTTTTTCTTCTGGAAAAAGTATTTTTTATTTTTTAGTTAATTGGCTAATAAAAATTATTTAAAATTATTTTCATGTCTTATAGATTTCGAAGCAAGTATGAGAAATTAGAAATTGAATTAAATTTAAGATTTATTGGGTTCTGGTTATTTTTTAAAAAATTCAAGCTCCAAAATAAATTTATTCTAATTTTTCGATTATTTCATCTTTTACAAAAAAAAAAAAAATCTTGAAGTACTTACTTTTTTTTTTAGTTTTTTTGTTAGCAACTGCTTTGTTTTTTTTTATGAAAAAAAATTAAATTTCTACATATTTATTTCTAATTATTCTCAATCGTAATCGATGTTTCTTTGTAAAAATAAAAATCTTATACGAAACAGATGTTGATTTACATTTTTAAAAACAAAGAAATTAAAGTGTTTGACATAATAACATTTCCTATTGAATTGAAATGATGTTGACATTTATTGAGGGCACGTTATCTTTTAGACTCAAGAGCATTGCTTTTCTTTTTAACACTGGGATATACTTTTTTTAGCTTATAAAATAAGATTTCTTTCTTTCTATCAAATTGGTTTTAAAAAGGAGGGGGGGGAAACAATTTCCTACTCAGTTTTTGTGACTAAAAAAAAAAAAAAAAATTTAAAAATTAGTCAAAGTTTAGTAAAATATTATTTTCGATCTTTTTGCATAAAAATAATCGTTTCTTGTTTAGTTTTTTGTATCCTGATACCTAAAAAATTTTCTTCTCTTAGCTTAATTTACCAATTTCAAATTAACGACATTTCCATGGAATTAAAAATAAAATCCATTTTTGTGTCTATTTAAAATCTGATGGAAGGACTTTAGTCAAAAAAGTTAGGAATTATATTTCGATTGAAAAAAAAATTTTTTAAGAATAAAAAACTTGGAAAAAAAAATCCGTATGCAATTGCAAAAATTAAAACAAGGATTTATGTTTGCAAAACAAAAGCAATAAATAGACGGAATAAAAATAGGACTCAACGTTAAAGAAATATATTGAAATCTAAACTTAAAAAATATAAGAAACAAGTGAACAGTCGACATTTAGACGAGAGAGTTTAAAACTCATAGACAGTAACACACGTTTCTATTTGAAAAAAAAAAAAAAAAAAAAATTAAGTTGAACTGATATTTAATAAAAAAAAAAAAATGAATTTAAATTTTAAACTAAAAAAAAAAATTTAATTGTAAAACTAAAAAAAAAAGTTTAATAATGTATTGTTTTATGCTGAGAATTCATTTCATCTGTATTTTCAAAAACAAGGCGATAAAGAGAGTAAGAGATTTTCTAAAGAAACTTTGAAGATCAAATTTTGAAGCAACAACCGTAATGCATATATATTTAAAATCATCTCACTAATATAGAAGAACAAAAACTTTTTAAGAAGTTAAAGAAATAAATAAGAAATTATTATTAAAAAGCTATCAACAGCCGCTTCCCACCAAAATGATCGCGTAGTACACACACAATGAACATGAGAGAGTGACCCTCTGCAGGAAACACTGTTTGTTTAAAAACTTTTATGAGATAGGTTTTTAGAAATTGATTTCTTACCTTCATCAGAGATGTTAGCATCCATATCTCTGTCTTCATCGTAATCTGAACTCCCACAATCATCATAGTCCAAGTCATTTTCATAACGGGGAGACATACCATAAGACGCCATTGTACCCCACGCGTTAAAAGAATAAATATCTTTTTTTCATAAATACTTATTTTGTAGTTCTTATATAAAGATCATATAAACCAGTATTCTTTCTGTCTATCTGATCTTTAATAATGTACAAATATCCCGTAAAAGTGAAAAATAAAGAAGGTCTGTAGCGAATGCAAAAAAAAAAAAAAAAAAGAAGGGGTATTTGAATCAGCTGCACGCTCTCCTGAAAAACACGTCTCAATGATGTAAGCGCGAAGTGCCTAATTCTGTTATTCCGTGCACAAAAGAATATGTTCGTTAAATTGAACTGCTCTCTTAAAATTGTGCATGTATTTTCTTTTTTTTTTAGCATTTAAAAAATATGTTTAAAACAGCGCCCATTGCATTAGATTGTGAACACGTGTTTCTTCTTAATGAAATTAAAAAAAAGGTAAAGCATATCTCCATAAGTAATTATATTATTTTTCTTTTAAATCTGCATTCAGAAGGCCATAGAAACGAAGAATATGTAAATAAGGGGCGGAACTAACAAAATAGAACTGGGCTCTGATTGGTCAATTTTACCTAACAACGAATTTCCTATGAAACGCTTCAATCAATTTTGCCCTGACCGATTTTTTCGTACCTAAAAATTGTAAATTGTTTCTTTTTTTGTTTTTTAAAAAAAAAAAGAAAAGAAAAAAAAAAACCAGAAATAATAAATTACTAATTGCGATATAATATAAACAATTTTCGTTAAATGAAGTAAACCGCAGTTATGAGAATCTCCTATGAGGATGAATGAACTGAAACTTGTTGTTTATTGCAATGTAGCACTTCACTTCGTCCGTTATGACTATGAGTGCTACTATATTACTATTGAAAAATAGATTTGACTTCTTGGTTTCCAAAATGATATATTTTTTTTTAATTTTTAAAAATTCAAATCCATTAAAATTTATTTTCTATTATAATTAAAAAAAAAAAAAATCAATGAGGCTTCTTCTTCGTCTTAATTGACATGTAGAAAGGAAGATATCTAAACAAAGAACCATTCGTCCTACTTTCTTCTCTCATTCTCAGCTAACTTCCGGCGCACATTTTTTTTTATTTACCCGACCTCATATTTAATTTTCTACTTTTCTTTTTTTTATTTTGTTTACCCCCACCCCTAAAAAAAAAACAATTTTTGTTTTTTATATTATTAAATATGGAGGATCCCCCCCCCCGCAAAAAACTCGTTATGTTGTTTATTAATCATCGATATATTTTTTTATTTAATTTTTTTTTCTTTGCGAATTTTCGACGAAAAAAACTTTGGTTAATAAAGAAAATGATTTTAAAAAATCCAAATAAACTCTCTCATAATATATTTTAACTTGATAAAATTAATTTTAGCTAAAAAAAAAACAAAAAACACACAACAGAGTTTAGATTTTAAATGATTTTTAAACAATATATCACTTCTTTATCTTGGCTTCAAGCCAACGTTTATTATTTATTCAGGTTTTCAACATATGTTTTCAATTTCTCTCAAACAAAAATCATTTTGTAATTTTTAAAATGAAAGCTGTTAGCGTTCGGTTTCAGAGCTTCTCTTCATTTTTTTTTTATTTTTTAAAATTTATATAATTTTATTTTTACAATACCTTTTTTTGAAGCTTGTAGCTATATAAAATGATATTACACACGAAGACCAAAAAAAAACTATGGTTGCCAGCAAGTGAAAAAAAAAGAGCCAAAATGTGTATACAGTGTATGTAACCCGGATATAAGAGAGTTGTCGGGACCGGAGAAGTCTCTTATATCCGTGTTTGGTCTATTTTATATACATTAACTAACACAGGCTCTAATTTGGGACCAGAGAAAATCTCTCTTATATCCGGGTTTCTCTTATCCGGGTTACACTGTATGTCAAAATCAAACAAGAAAGAAATATAAAAAAAAAGTTTCAAAAACTAAACAAGGTATTATTAATTAAAAACAGAAAAATTTTATTTGAAATTTCCGTGTCTATAAAGACATATTAAATACATAAATAAAAAATTAAGTTAGTAATTGTTATGGTGTTGTTATAAAATAAAATAAGACATATCTCGGCTGATTTACAGGCAAATACTCAAGAGCGAGAACCGGATGTAAACGGGACAAAGCCCCGTCACAAAATGACCATTATCTTTCTTTACAAATGTTCCCGACACATGTGTTCCGGTCGAAAAATAAAATAATATTTGAAGTGCTCTATTTTTCGTCCAATAAAAATGCTTCCCTCCTAATTATACTCGCTTCGTTTTTCGAGCCTGTTAAGCCATAAAAAAACACTATAAAAGGGGTCACACGGAAGTTCAACGGTCAGTCAACAGGTGGCCACAAAGGAGACCTGTCCGGTCAGGCCGAGCGTTCAGCAGCTGTCAGCAGGAGAGCACCAACCACCGTCAACATGTGTGAACTACTATGAGAGATCGACCTAGATCCGAAAGCCGGCTTATGAACTTTACCACAAGGTATCTGTCCCAAACCCACACGTCCCTGTTGAAATAAACCACATAAATCTATTTCTACTGTTGTCATATTTCTTTCTTGCAACTATACGCTTGTCTATAACAGTGTCGTATCCCTAAAAAATAAATAAAGATTATTTATAATGTCAAAATAATTATAACAATTATAATTATCATTAATTCACTCATTCTTAATCTTAAGTAACCAATGAGAATTGACCCCACTTCTCTCCTCTATACACACAAACCCGTGATATGCAGTTCACAGGGACGGATCAACACATGTGCTGACGAAAATTTTGGTTCCTTTTTTTTTTTTTCAAGCTATAATAGTAACATTTCTCTTTTAGTACTTAACAAAAAAATTAGAGGTAAGAAACTCCCAGATACTTCTTGTATTTTTCCAACTAAATTATCTGTACATATAAAAAATATATGAGAAAGACTGCATACACTTTTAGTTTTGCTTATTATTTGTTTTATCTATTTTTGGCCTCAACCTCACAATTTTACTAAATATTACCGTCTCTTATTTCTCCAATACCACATAACAACCAGATAATAAATAATACCCATTTTGTTGTTTGTCATTTTTATGAGTATTTTTGTATATATAAATGTTAGGGGGTTTATAATTATTTATCTAGAGTCATAACTCCCCTACAAAATAAAGAAAAGTGTGCTGAACTGGCCTGCAATATCAATCATCCTATATGGAAGTGAATGAAATGCAATTTCATTGCAGATGAAGAGAAGTGGTTCTTCAGAAGGATGCTGAGAATACCATCGACAGAGTATGTGTACAATGAGGAAGTTTTAAGAAAAATGCAAACAAAATGAACAAATACACACATAAAATAAAAAAAAAGACACAATTGAAATTTGTGAGACACATAATGAGTAAAGCAGGATTTGAGATTTGAGATTTTTGGTAATATAATTCCATCTATTTGGCAAGATTCTTCATCCCTTTAGCAAGGAAACACTCAATATCAGTTTTAGCCTCTCCACAAATAATAAACTGATTTTCTCTGAAAAATGTTGCAATGATCTGAAAAGATGATCGTCAGATGGAGCATAGTCAGGAGAGTAAGGAGGATGAAGCTAAATTGCCATAATTAGTGCTACAATCTTTTCTTGAGTGACTTGAGCAATATGTAGTCTTGCATTGTTGTTTAAAAGCAACATGCCTTTATGATTAACCAATGATGGGTTATAGCCTCTTAATAATTAATAGGGTGGATCAGGTAAAAATTTCCTATTTAGTACTATAATCCTTTCCTAAGTGATTCAAGCAATATGTGATCTTGCATTATTGTGTAAGAGCAACACACCTTTATGATTAACCAAAGATGGGCTCTTTTTCTGTATATGCTTGTGCAATGCTTTCAATCTATAACAATACTTTATTTTGGTTTACACTTCATGACAGATGATACTCTTCATATCCCACCAAACACAGAACATGACATTTTCAGGTGTAGTCTTCATTTGATGACGTATTCTCTTTTTTCAGGGCATTGCTAACCATGTAGTTTTCATTGGATATGATCATAAAAAAACAAATTTCTCCAAGATTCTAACCAGGAGAGGTTTGGCAATAAATCTACTCTTCAATCATGAGGAGAGGGCAAATCTTTGATTAAGCTGAGAAGTCAGATGATGAGGAACCCATTCATCAAATTTAGACACTTTTTTAAGTTTATGAATGTGTTTTATGTTTGAAATGTCATTTGTATTGAACAGTTTTGTACAATTTTCTTAGGATTTTCCTCAACTACGGTTTGCAGAAGTTCAATATTAACAGAAATCGGTCATCCAGATCAAGGTAAATTTTCAAGAAAATAATTCCAGATTGAAACTGGCCACTCCATTTTTGCAATATTTGGTTGCTCAAAGCTTTGTTTCCATAGACAGAAGAAATATTTCTTGCCGCTTCCATTGCTGAAGAGCCCTTTTTGAATCCAGACAGCATATAATGTCTGATATCAGTTTGATCTAAACTCATTTTAAAAGGGTAAAATTGATACAGAATTTACCCGCTGATATTAAGTAATCTGCAAAAAAAGAAAAATAAACATTAAGATATAAAAATTAACGGTTATTTTATTGTAAATATTGAAAAAGTGCACTCAAAGGAATCATATAAATTTTTTTTATGTTATGGACGTACAGGTGGAGTAATGGATAACAGCTCAGAATGAGAAATTGGAGATCCAAGTTCAAATTTCAGTCAAGTTTGTGACATTTACTTATGTGCAAATATCCTTGGGAAAGGTATGAATCCATCTCTCATCCTGCTATAGGTTAAATAATAGAGCAGACTGAGTCCAGGAGGAAGACAACTCTGAATTAAAAAAAAATATGTATATAGAAGCTCTAGTGTGGTGTTGAGTTCACGATGACTCTATAATCCCAACTGCAGTCAGCCTTGGTTGGTACTCCATGCTAATACAGTAAGAGACACAACAATGATAAATCATTTCAGTGCAAACAAAAGCATTTAAATAAAAAAAGGTCATTTAATGT